TCATTAATATTTGTATTATCACAGTTTTAAATGGCTGTGAACCAGCTTGTACAAAAAATACAATCATAGCACCATATTTACAAATTTAGTACCATCTGCTGGTTAAATAGAAATTCTCAAACTATTTTTTATGGCTAATTAGGTTATAGGGTAGTGCTTTCAGAAAATTGCCTGAATATCTTTTACAAATATACACTTATAAAAAGAAATGTTATCAAAAATGCTGTTCTTTGATGCAGCAAATTGTGTTAAAAAAGTTATTAAAACATTATTCATTATAGACTTAAAAAAGCTTCAAATTTACATTTTCCTTTTGACAGGCACTCTATAAACTAAAATGTGGCCTTTTTCACAGCTGTTAGTTTAAACATATATTTATCTAGTTAATTGTTATCAGTGTTGCTCATTTTTTATAGATAGAAGCAAAAGGAAAAAGAATCACCCATTAACCAGAAGCATCATTTACAGTTTTTACTTTTGCCTACTTTGTACATGTGTTGCTTAAAAGTGACACTCTGGTGATGTCGAGGTTTACTGTACGTTATCCCACTGCCTTCTTCAGACTTAGTTCCTTCTTTCCTAGGATTCGGTGAAGGCTAGCTGACATGAAGTACGGCTTTGCTGTAGATCCGTCATTTCTTTCCAGGTCTTCACCTGAATTTTCACCAGCCAAAGCAGCAAGCAGCAGTGTAGCCAGACACACACCAAAATGGGAGGAAAGGAGAGAGAATTGAAGGGAAAAGGCAAAAGAAAATATCAAACATGACAATTTAGCCATATTGTTAAGCTGATGAAAGACATAATTTTTTTTTATTTTTTCAAGCCTGACGAAGCTTTTCACAAAACACAGTGACACATACCTAGCTATTTTAAAATGACAGAAATAACTGTTTTAGTCTCCCAGTTCTTTGGTTTGGCAGCATTACTGGAAGTTCTCAGAAAGGCCCATGTATCCAGACTGGTAGCCAGACTTTCCAAAGAAGCCTAGCATTTTGGCTGCTCATTGGTGGAAAATTTGTCCTGAAGAGAGCTTTGGATTTATGCACTTTAGAAAAAGGGGATCCCTTTTCACTGCCTAAGAAGTTCTTCAGAAAACACGGTGCCATGGAGTGCACAACAGCTATATGATCTTCTGACCATTACCGATGGTCATGGGAAGTAAAACAGTGTGAACTGAGAAGTGTGACATGTGCATGCTCCCGTTTTCCTACAGGAGATCATACCTAGATCTCTCCGCTCCCAACCAGGCCACGGTGCAGGGAAGGGCTTCCGCACGGCTGTGCAGCCTGGCGGGAGGTGCAGGCCCTGCCTCCGCACCGCGGGCTGCAGTGTGAGCGCTGCCTGAAGACAACTGCCCAGGGATGGTACAGGAAATTCCTGCCGTATCCGCATGGCAGCTTCTCCGAACAAAAAGCTATTGTCCCCAAACCAGATGCACAGACTCCATTTGCCTCTCCTGACACGTCGCAGGCTGCGCTGGGGCCAGGACCTCCCTCTGCTCCTGAAAAGCACAATGCACCTTTCTGCTCACACCACGCAGATGCCAGCAGCATTAGACTGTGCCGCCTGGCTGTACAAGTATCCACAGTGGAACTGTTTTTGCAAAATGCATCTATCGTGCTCATTTCTACATCATCAGTCTTCCTATTCAAGTATGACTTACCCAAATCATCCTCTATGTGCTTACACAAATGTGACTAAATTGAGGCCAAAGATAGTGGAGAAAAATCCCTGTGAGGAACTTCAATTGCAAAAACACTGTATCTTCTTCCAGCAACTCTGTGCATAGGCCACCTGATGGCACCTTTAGACTCCTGTACAGCTGGTACAGAGCTGCAAAAGGAGATGTTTCCCAAGAGGAAGAGCCAGTGTGAACCAGGCGCGCACTCCCGCTCTGTGGCAGAGCAGGACACTCACATCTCTGTTGTACACGCGCATCTCAATGTGTGTGCTGGGCTCCACAGTACAAGAGGGATGTGGGGCTTCTGGAGAGAGGCCAGCGCAGGGCCACAAGGATGATCAGGGGCCTGGAACATCTGCCCTATGAGGAGAGGCTGAGGGAGCTGGGCCTGTTCAGCCTGGAGAAGAGAAGGCTGAGAGGGGATCTAATCAGTGTCTAGAAGTACCTCAAGGGAGGCAGTGAGGAGGATGGTGCTGGCCTCTTTTCACTGGTGGCCACCGACAGAACTAGAGGTAACGGTCGGAAACTGAAGCACCAATAGTTCCACAGGAACTTAAGGAAAAATTTCTTAACAGTGAGGGTGACAGAGCAAGGTGTCCCTGCGTATGCAGGGGGGTTGGACTAGATGATCTCTAGAGGTCCCTTCCAACCCTAAGCATTCTATGATTCTATGATTCTAACTTCACTCCCTCTCCCCAAACATCTTAATGTTATCTCATGTTACAATCCTTGTCTTCAAGGACACTTCAAAATGGCAATAGCTCAACATGACCAGCCCGTAGCTATCACATGAGGAAGACAAGGCAGCCAATGACCTTGAGCCTGGGAGCTGCCTGAACGACCAGCTCCTGCCTGTCCCAAGATGCTGTCACTAGGAAGCCTGTGGCAACAGCCCTTTCCTGTTCGTGTGCTGCTACAACACCCACAAACACAACACTGCCTTGGCTTCCCACAGCATGTCAGCATAAGACATGGTCTGTTTCCTAATCCCTGCCATCACTTTTAACCCTAAGTGCCTATAAATCAACTACACGCATCTATGGCATAAACAGAAAAAAATACTTGTTAATTTCTGTGTGTCGAGAAAAAAAATAGGCTTTCTGTATTCTGCTAGTTTGCTAAATTCCTTTCTATTTAAATTATCACAAGTGATCATTTATTTATTGCCATTTCAGCTGATTTCTTGGAGATGTGGGGCTTTTTTGTATCTGCCAGTATTTATGTTTCTTTAGAACCAAACTTCTCAATGCAAGATAAATCTGAGGTCACCCTCAACTACACATTAGTTTTCAGTTTTCTCTGATAACACAAGTGAGTCTTGTATCAATAAGTCAGTCTTGTATCATGCTTATGTGTGACCAGTAAAAAGAGAGACTCTTTTTATCTTCCATATGTTTCATAATTTAAAAAAAAAGTTAATACATTTTAATCAGCTTAAAAAACTCCTCAGAGATGGGGAGTATACAGAAGTATTTAGCTAATGTGACAAAGAGAAAACAGTAAAATCAAGGGAAAATAAATACAGTATAAACAATATAATCACCAAAAGGTTTATGGGGTGTCTTTAAAATTTGTGAAATGCCATTGGACTGTTGCTTTACACCACCTGGTAAGATTCCCACACCTTAAGAGAAAAGAGACAAGTTTCTCATGCAGAGATCCACTGTGCAGTGGATAGTGACAGTGGATCTTCCATCTACGAAAGGCGGCAGAGGATCCCTAAACTTCACTGTCAAGTAGACAACTTATTTGTTTACTTAGAGGTTCATCCACTTTGACTGCCTGTTTCTGGAGTCATTGTAATCCCTTGCTGTGACAATAATTTCCACAGCAACTAGCTGCAAAGCCAGAAGTAAGTGGGGAATACGTAAGGAATGCCAACAGGTAGGGAAAAAGTAAAAGGAATCAGTGAAAAGTTAAACGCTGAGCTTTTTTTCATGTGGCTACTGTTATTTTCTTAGCAAGTACAAAGATCTTAGTCTGCCTCTCTGCCTTAGTAACAATGAAAAAAGGAACTAAAATGCACTAGATACATTGAATAAATTCCCAGTGCAGTCAGCAGCCGCCTCATTCTGCACGACCAAAAGGACTTCAATGCACGGGAATATAAGGCCACTCCTTAAGTCCTGCCTCCCTCTCTTTAATCATCACAAGCTACACTTCCAACTTCTGCATGGGGATGACTGACAAGTTTGGGTGCAGTATCTTGGGTGAGCGTGCAGCTGTGAGCAAGGCCCTGCCACCCCGTGGAGGTCAGGAGTTTCAGAGCCCCCTCCAAGGCCCAGCTAGAGCCTCCCGAATCCTGTGCCCATGCAGCTCCGTGCCCAACTGAATGTAAACTTCCAGATTTCACATTTGCGGTGTGAACGGTGCACCCACCACACTACATGGAAGGAACATGCATGATTCCTTGCTGTTGCCAATGGGAACACTTCTGATTTTTCACAGATTCAAGAGATGAAATACACCTGCCCTGCAGAGGCTATCCTTTCTGCCAAAGCTGCACATGAGCATATCAAAGGAACATTTCTGACTGATTTTCTTCCCTGATTCTTTGGTTCTGCGTTGTCTCCAGAACCATTCCTCACCCTGTTTTCTTGGGAACAAAGCTGGAAGAGGAGTTTAACTTCAGCATGATTCAGAGGAAAGAAAGAGAATTTATGCTACCATAAGAGAAGAATCAGTATCTGTTTAATTTTGCCTCAGTGACTTACTGTGCATACGATGGATAAAGACTATGATTACTTACCACTCCCATAGATATCAGTCAAATAATTCAGCCAGTTGCTAGAACAGTTGCTCCATTTGGACTTAACAGAGTACCTTTCATTACAGAAAAACTGTACCTTTATTTCTTCTAATCAATACACCTAGCAATTGTCCTGCAGACCACAGCATCTTCTTACAACCATGTGCTAATTTGAAACCAGCTGATTTTAGTATTCTCTGACTAAAGTCTGACTGAAAAACAAGAGCACTAGTCCCTCAGAGGGCCCATGACTGCTTGGGGTTGGGGCTCCAAGTGACAGACAGTTTCTCAAATGGTATTTTGCATGAATGTAAAGGTAACTCAGCACAATATTTGTTCAGGACTATTAACCTGAAACCAAAGGGCCAGCAATAGCTATCAGTGAAGACCAACACACTGCGTAACAAAGAACAACTCGCTAATAAACAAGAGGTTTGACTGTTGCTACACTTTACAAAGCATCCAGAAGCGAATTATTAGAGAAAGTTCCGAAAAAAAAGCCAGATGCTCCAGTGAGTCACAGCCACCTCCCGCTACTGAAACTAACGACATCTGAACACAGAAACACCTCTGCACTCAGGTACGCAGCCAGGAGCCAGCGTGAAAAGCAGAGGCAATTCTTCTGGTGACACGTTAGCAGGGGGAAAATGGAAGCAAAGAAAGAAACCACCTTGTCAGTTCCTCTTCCTGCAACCTGTGGGAATTAGTAAAAGAAAACTTTGTACTTACAAAAGCAGAGGAAAAGTGTATCGACACACATTGCATAGACGCTGAAGAATCCGTGTGCAACCAAGTAGGAGCCAATAATGACAGTCTACAAAAACAAACCACAATAAAACCACATGTTGAATTGGCACCTGTGTGCTGAAGACTGTCACAAACCAGAATCCCAGTCCGTTAAGCAAATCTGGGAGGCATTAATGCAGCTCTACAATTCTACATAGGGTTCCTGCTGTAGAGAGCTATCTTGGATTTGTAAGAAAGTAGCAGAGCGGCTGTTTTTTTTTACAGCTCACAAACCAGGGCCATGTCAACTCCATACAGAATATATCCCAGGAACACTGAGCTTCTTCACAATGTTCCTCTGAAAGACCCCTCCTTCAAAGACGTTCTGCAACTGTGGGGACTCCAAAGGAGAAAGAATTGCACCCAGGTCTCTCCCATCAGAAGACACACTGTAGTCAGTGCCTCACCACCATGAGGGTGAGATCCAACCATTCTGCAGGTGCTGTGGGCACAGCAGGAGGGGACGGAGACACTGTCACCAACACGTTCCCTGAGCACCTCCAGTTGCCACCAGAGTTGGGGCAATCAGCTAAGCGACTTACCAACAAGGGCACCCAGTAGTAGTTCAATGTTGGTGCTTCCTTGGCAAACAGCGGTATTCTCTGCGTGAAGAAGAAGAAGGCGAGCACACCTGCAAGAAGCACAGACCATGTGTCACTCTGGGGCACTCCAATCCTGCAGAAAGGATGAAACAAAAGTAACAGAAACGGGATCCAAGGCTGGACTACACAAGATCCATTAAATAACAAATTTCTACATGTTAACAATTTCCTGGATCTGTCTTCTGACCAGAATGAGATGTAAAGGAATGAATTATTGTAAAAATACTCATGGAGCCAGAAATATTTTAATTTTTAATCACCATTCTACTGTACTTAATAACAGAATTAACAAATAATGATCACATAATAATGTGGGATAACATCAAAGACCTTTGGGTAGACCTTTTCTAAAATAAACAAAGGTAAGCAAGTAGAATTCTGCTTAACTTTACTCACCTGAAGAAATACTTAACTATTTTCACATTAGAAAGAGAAATGTTGTGCTAGGGATAAAGACAATAATAAATATACAACAGAAAAATGTATGTAAGCAGAAACAGCCAAAGAAATTATCATTGAAGAGGAAAAAGATATTAATTAATTTCAGTATTTCATGGCTTATATTAAAAAATAAGTTTCACATGATTTTTTTTTTCAGTTTGAGAGTCAACATAATGTGTTAAAGCTGCCTTGACAATTTGGAAGAGTTGGAAGGGAATAGTGCCAACTCGAATTTCTGAAAGTGCTTTATTTTTAAAAAATCAATTTCTGCCACAGCAAACTAGGAATACTATTCTGATATTCCCTCATAACCAAAAAAGGACCCTGTAAGGATGTGAGAAATATTTTGTTGCTTTCTTTCCTAGAGCTGGGAGGATCTTGTGAAGGGGCTCGAGCGCAGCAGAGCTTGGGGCGCCGCTGCTGCAGACCCCCACGGCCCCCGCACGCCGCAGCCCTGCTCAGCTCGCAGCGTGGGGGCCGGTTCTTGCGCCAGCAACGCATGCAAGAACAGTAAAAGCAATTACAGAAACGGTGCTGCCAAGAGCACACAAAGACAGGCGGAAAAAGAAAACAACAACATGCCTCCTAGGGCAGTCTTGTAAATCCTTGGGCACAGGAACAGCTTCCCGAATAGTCAAATCCACAAGAATCTGCAGCCCTTAACTGAGCACATACGGACACGGCAAACTTGGGAGTACCAGAAAATAAAAGCATACCATTCAAGAAGAACCAGTTAAACTTACCTACACCACCAGCAACGAGAATTTTTCCCAGGAATAAAAGAAAGTCTGTAACTTTGTCCAGAACTGCAACTCTGTTCAGCAAAGGACAAATCATACGGAAACATCACAAATCAGACATTCATATTCTTTTTTCCTTAAAATTATGACTAATTAGCAAAATGTAATCAGGAATTGTCTTCTGCTGATTTCCCAGACTGCTAGTAAAACACTGCAGCAAAGCAATATTGAGAAGGGCTAGGCAGTGGCCTACCGCCCAGCAGGAAATGAAGCACTGATCTTCTTGCTGGGTTAGGCCTTAAGGAAGCACAACTGCTGACAGCACTTAAAGAGTGCTTATTGACCCTACTGGTTCAAAAACATCCTCAAAGCATCATTATTTAAGCCTTTCTAAAGGCTTAGAAAAAGTCAGAGTGAGGACAGCCCATGGGAGGCCAAGGCACACCAAAACACAGCACAGTGTTTGTGAGGGTGGCTTGTAGGTTTTCTGTCTCTTAGTGCCACCTGGCCACATATAATTGCTCCAGGATATGCCAAATACACAGTATTATTTTGAGATGTCATTGTACAACCCTGCATGTGGGAGATCTCAAAGCAGAGGCAGTCCCAGATGAATTACTGAAGGTAGACAAAAAGTTTAGCAACAACTCTGCACTGTCCACCTTTCACTGAAAGCAACAGCAAAGGAGGGGTAAGGAAGAGGGGTGAGACACACACTTATTGCAAAGAACCTCTGCTCAAAATCCAATTAGACTGTCTCATCAGAAACTGAAGGTAAATAATGGCGTGGAAAATGGGATACTGCTAGCCTCTTGACAGTGCTGAAGGCTGCTGTACTGGTGAGATCCAGCACTGACTACCAGGAAAGATGAGCAAGTAGCAAACATTAGGTAAAACAAACCACCATTAACCTGTTAAGAGTTCAGAGTCACAGCCAAAATACACAAGATAACAAAAATCTCCTTTGAAAACAAACAGAATCACATGCCTGTTTCTTAGCTGCCGCTCACAGAGGAGGAGCAGAAGTGCACAGGACAGCAAGGCTGAGCTGCTCCCCTTGCATCAGCACTGCATGGCGTGGACAGCCCTGCTCTGACATGGATACTGCAGACACAGTGGATGAACGGTCCTTTCCTGCCCCATGTTCCTCTTTCAGAATCCTTCCTCCTCCCAGTCCTTCACTACACAATTTGAACTACCGAACCTGCTTTACTGTGGTCGGCTATCACTTCAGCATGGCCTGCTCCTAAGTTCCTCTCCAACGCTTTTTGATCTTCCTGTATTTCAGAAAGTGCTGGGAGCTAAGAGGGAAAATACTGCAGAGAACATGGAGCTTGGCAGCAACCTAGGCACTGGGGGAAAGTGTTGGGCAGTTCTCTGCACTAGGAGAGATCTGCCTATGGTGCATATCAAAGATACCGTTTTTGAAAGCAAAGTGCTCCCTCTCCTTTCTTGCTGCTCTCTAACACCTCATAAGTTTTCTGGGACAAATTTGAATCCTTAGATCTTTCCATTTTCCTTTTCAGAGAAAGTAGATGGACCAAAGCTCAAGAAACACACAAATAGCAGATGATTCACCCACTGACATGTATCTGTAGACCTCATTACATTCTATAAGGGTGCTGATGATTATAAAAGAGTGATCTTAACAAGACTGTCTGCTGGATCAGACTAACTGCCTGCGTTGCTCTGCCGGACAGCTTGCTGAAACACACTAGCCATTAGATGTGAGGGATATTTCTGAAGGCAAAACCAGTTTAAATTAATTTTCAGAGCAAGGCTGGAAGAGGAAATAAGTGTGTCCTCAGAGTGCAAAGGCAGAAAATCCTGCCATAGCCAAGGAGGGGGAGATGGCACCTTACCTCACCACGTTACGCATGAGCAGGTAGAATGCCTCTTTTGCTGAAGTGCAGAAGTTTTTACCATATATGGCAATCTGCAAAATAACAGTAGTTGTTTGATAAGTATTTTAACTAATTAGGATAACTCCTTCTGTAATTCTATTGATTTTTTTTTTTAATTTTTATTTTCTGGACTAGTGTCTTCAAGGATAAGATAAATTAACATAGTTCTTCAGAGTTCTGATATTAATGCAGTAGGTTTGCCTACTGCAAATAAGACTATCAAAAATAGTATCCTCTCTTCAGGACTACAGTAATCTGAAATACCTTTTGTGCGAACATGGGATTAACGGAGCCACTACAATCACCTGCGAGAAAACAGATCTGTGATTGTAGAATTCCTTCACTGACACTGCTTTAGATAATGACATCTCTGTCTGAAATCAGTGTATATTTATTTAGGTGAAAACCTGAAATTTCTCTTCTGAAGGCCGGTTAGGGTTATTTCAGGGTAACATAACTGTAGCTTCTAGCACGCTTGTGACTTCCTGGGACAAATACAGACACCACCTGCCTCCTATCTTCCTTATTTAAAACGCTGGCTTTTAACAGAAGCGTTAAAGTGCTTCAACATGCAATATGAAACAAGCCAGCTTACTTGTTGGAATCAAGATTTGAACTGCTGATTCAGAGGGAGAGTTAAGTATTATGCCATCCCTTCTCACTTATTTGGGGGGATGAGTGAGTATGAGAAACAACAGATACAGCCAAGAGGAAAGGCTGAGTTTGCAAGGAAAAAAAATCTCATGTTCTCATGTAAGGACCACATGCATTTCCTGAAAACTGACTTAAATCCTATCATTTATTCAGCAGACTCAATGATGGCTGTTGACCAACCAGGAGCGGCCAGAGTGTTTTAGTGCCCTAACACTAAACAGGGGAGACCACATGCTGAGAAAGAAAATACATACCATGATGTAAGCATTTCTGTTTATAAATTTGATGAATTTTTCCAAACACCAGAAACAGCATTTGAGGCAGCAGAGTAGAAATCTAGTGAAGGAGTTTTGTGTACCTGAAAAAAAAGGGAGAGCACAGCACAAAGAGAATTCACCAAGAGACTGCAGAACATAGAAAGATATACAGAAGGAAATCCTGAATTGCAGGAAAAGCAGAAACATTATTTCTATTTTTCTAGGCATGGACTCTCCTTCATAACAAAATTTAGCTCACTATCTTTCAATTAGATTGGATTCAAGTCCTGCTTGAACGCTTACATTAAGCTCTCAAGGATATATACTTGATTTGGGTATATTAACAAAGATTCATTGGTTTCTAATACAACTGCAATGGCTAATAACAATGTGGGATTTGGCTCTTAAGATAATCATAGCTGAAAAACCATCCTGGGAAGCAAAGGAAATAATTTGTCAAATGAGTTTGTAGTAACTTAGAGCAGATTCATAAATCTCACCTTTCAGTTTGTGATCCAAGTACTCCAAGATTACTCTAATAAGCTGGACGATTGCAAGAATTAAGGCTCCAAATGCCAGTGAACCTGTATGGTACCTAATGCAAAATAAATGCTATTTAGTGGCTGGCATTCACAGCAGCATTCGGATTACGCTGCGGGTGATACTACAATTCCCTACCAGCAGCAGATATCCCCTAATATTCCTCCAAAGCCTGTGCCCAGGTGAAAAGGTGCTCTCTATAGTGAGGGTTGCCCAGGGTGCACAGTATGACTGGAATTATTAGAGCTCACCTGATACCAGCAAACCTCTCCAAACAGCTGTGGAAGAGAAGCAACTGTTCTGGGATCTATGCTCTGCAATCATGCTTGGATGGAGTATCCATGGGACACGACTGCACCAGCCCTGCTACCATGTGGAATGAGGCCTAGCTATCTCTTATCTAAGAGTCCTTGTGTACCAAAAGATGGTTATAACCACACTACTCTTAAAACTACTATTCTTAAAAGTTTGTAGCTTAGATGTAATTAGCAAACTAGTAAAACCATTAGACTATGTACTTAATGAATCAGGAGATCACATCTAGGTTTACAGGAGGTGATGAATTTCTAATAATGAGAAAGGCTGTGTCCCTAACGATGACACCTAACCATTGCCATTTGATTTTTTAGGCTCTATTTTCCTAGGTGTAAAAAGAGCAACTTTAGGAAATGTGACAAGAATCACAGCCAGCTTCACAATCTTACCGTATTGCTCGTCCAAATGAAGAGAAGAGTGGCCACAGTGGAATGTCAGCAGGTTTCCTAAAGGCCCAGTAGTAAGAGGCAAAGGCACCAGCAAGGGTACACTGACCCAGTGCAATTGCAAAGTTCACCAGCCAGAGAAAGACAAAGGCATTGGCTAACTGAAAGATGAAGATATATTTATGGTACAGGCTTTCTCCTCCATAAAATGCAAAAGTACACTGAGCACCTGGACAAAGTTTGGTCACGTTGGTTTTGTTAAAAGTCTGCATAGAAACAAACAAACAAAAAAAATATAATAGCAATGAATTTCCTGAAAAAAGTCTCTGAAGTTTAGAGTCTTAATACAAATCACGTATTTTTTGATGTTTCATTAGCTCATTCAACACTGTACTCCAATAGATTTTAAATATTCATATATCTAAGGGTTCATATTAATATGTTAGGCAGGTGTTGAACTTTGAACTCTGTAGTTTATAACCAGGTCTGTTCACCACACAAAATACCACCAGAGTTCTGCCTGGAACTTATACAAATGAAACTTGAATTTCAGAAATCTACTTTTAAGATACGTAAACTACTCAGTTTCATTAAAGAAAAAATACTACAGTAAAAATGTTATTTATTTAAAAACCAGAGGCCAAATCTGCAGCTTAGGTAAATCACCATTTTTGAACTGAAATCAAATGAGCCATGACAATCTATCCAAGCTGAGGAAGTGATCACAACTTCCCTTACACATCTCGGAGTATCAAAACAGAAGTCATCTCTAAAGTGGAATTACTTTTTCCTATCTCTGTTGTTTATATCATGCATTTGCCTAGAATACACAATGAAATGACATTTCTACACATTAGAAATGACTCATTTCTAATCGCTTTCTTCTTCAGTTTTCAGGCATCAGCAGAGTTGGGAATCATTTGGAATGCAGATACTATAGCATTCTGTTGAATATATATATGTGTATATTTACATATAGCATTTTGCTGACATTTAAACCTAAAGATAACTGTGCTGATATAACATTTCATAAATACTTACAGCTTTCAAAAAATACTTGGATTAAATCCCACACTTAAGTCATAACATTTAATTGAAAAAAGCCAAACATTTTGGACCTTCATAAAGGCCACTGTTGTGCTGAGAAAATCCCAATATTTACTTGGGTCTCTGCTTCTAAAATATGGCTTGTCCTTGGGCAGATTTGAGGCCCAGCTTTTAAAATTGCCCACTGCCTTTTACAGACCCCAAAACAGAAGTCTCAAGAATTTCTCAGCCTGTAAAATAGAACTATCAATATATAGTTTCTTCATAAGACAGTTTGGCAGATTAATTAGGGTATTTTTGCAAATTGCTTTGAACAAAGAAAACATCATTTGAACAATAAGTACTATTCACATATTTAACAAGATTAATCATTGCTTAAAATATGAATGTTGCTTAAAATATGAATGTTTTCTATTAGCACTACACAAGGGCTTAATATCAATTAAGAAACGCAATTAGCATACCCTTTTATTAGAGGTAAACATTAGTTACACTTACCTCTGGGTCACAACTCAGGTTTGCATACTTGCACAGTGTTTGATTAGCCATTACTTTATACACAGGCTCTCCTGATGTAGCCAGAAAACTGAATGAACGGCTTTAAGGAAGAATCACAGAACTGTAGGCTTTGGACAACTTAAGACTCTGCAGTGGGAGCTCTAAAGAACTTGTGCAAATAGCAGAAATATTACTCTTGTTAGGCGAGATTTATACGGCAGACCAGACTGAATTCTCCCATTATCTGGAAAACTAAGGCAAATTCCACCTCTGAACTATGATAACTCCTGCCCAGAATAGGCAAGGGAAATTACCCTGCAAGTTGCCTCAGGCTGTCCTGTGTATCTAGCTATGGTGAGGCACATCACCCAGTGCGTCTTTGTCAGCTCATGTTCTAGTGGAAGCAGACACAAAGCACAAGGTAAGATTACACTGTCCAGCACAGCAACAGTTGAACATTTTTGCACATAAAAGAAAAACAATTTGTTTTCAGAAAGCAAAATTTCCTTTTTCCTTGCCATCCCAAGAACAAACAGTTGGCGGCTGCTGTTATACATTTTAGAGAGGGCTCAGTCCTCTCTCATTCCTTTCCTGTAATTTTTCTGAGCAAAAAATCACCTGAAGCTTCAGCTAAACCAGAGATCATTAACATGGGGCCTGTAGTACATGCAGTACTGTAAAGACCATATTTACTCTTTGCTTACAGTCCTATTTTACCCCTTAAAGACAACCTTAGGTAGTACACAGAGCCTAGTTTGACTCCCCCTGCCCTAGCACAAATTTTGGTCCATTTCATCTTAAGGAAGTTAAGATCCGCTCTCAGAGTTCGACATCACATCCAAATGTGTAGTGAGGAACAACTCTGCGTACATAGAACAGGGGCCCTCTTGATTCTGCTGGTTTAAGGTGGTGGAGCACCACCTGGTCTTGTGGAGCAGAAGACCTCTCCAGACAGATACACAGGCAGGATACACAGCTGTCACGGCCCAGTAGGAAATACAAATTGCAATGAGTAAGAAGGTGACTATTGGGTAGAACAATGTAGACATTATATAGCCAATAGCCCTGTAAAGGAAACAAAACATATCAGAAAGCTACAATGATTTAAGAAAAAAGCTTTTTTATCTAGTTGTCTGTCATTATCTTTTTTGCTTTGAGCTACCTATTGATACCAGCAACATAATTTAGCACTGGAATCTCAGAGCACTGCAGGTTCTGTCTTCAAAGAGCTTCCCTTCTAATGCTCTTTCACTGGCATCTTCATCTATCTGCCACGTTGAGACCTGTCTCCCAATTCCACTTGCTCTTTTCTATGCCTGTTTCTCAGATCCTGGTCTTTCCAGGTCATAAACCCATTTCAATCCCACCTGTTTGTGCCTGCTGCAGACATTACCCTTCATCTCTATGCCCCGCACTGCTCAGCTCCTGTGCCCTCCCTTCACCCCTCACCACTTTGCCTTTGAGGACTCTCGCAAGCCCCTTTCCTGCCCTAATAGCAGATACTTTGGCACACCCTTACGTTATCCGAGAAGCAACCACTACTTTCTAACCATGGACAGCAGTTCCTGGGAAGCCTCGCTAGTGTCTAGCAAGCTATGGACAGTTACTCCAACAAACTGATCATTCATTGTTCCTAACTATGGATTTCAAGTCAATTAATTATATGATAAGTTGTAATCTTTTTGAGAGAATAGTTAAAAGGTACTAAAAACATTATTTGATTCACAGTTATTAGCAATTAGTTTTTCATATTCCTGAATACAGGACACTGTCTGTTAAGTCTACAGTAATTATTTACAGTGTTTCTTTCTAAATAAAAATTTCACCCATAAGTGACCTTTCCACACTGCTGAAAAAGAGGATATTTTCATTTCTCAGTAGGAAGTTTATGAAATTTCTGAAATGCTTCTATCTGTCAAGGCTGTGAACAAAAGTGTTGCAGAACATTAAAGTGCTTCTGTATTTTAATCAGCATGCACTAATGAGTGGAATGACAGGTGATGCCAGAATTTAGTGCTGTGGTCAACACTAGTAGTTGCAGAAGATTTCATTAGCAATGAACTGGTATTCCCTGTAATACCTGTTCTGCTCAGCGATTCCCATGCTGTGCTTCAGCCTCCAACTTTTTGCCTTTGGTTGGGGAAGACAAAACTCGGAAAGAATGCACTGTAGAGGGCATTTAATAAAGTTAAAGATATATTTAAATCAGACAAACATACCTACTGCCTTCCTTTAACAGTGCAATAGCAATCCGGATACGGTTCCTCAGGAATATCAGCATCAATATGATTATAACCTCAACAACACATAGTATTATCACTGTAAAACAAAAAAATATATACATATCTTTTTCAGGAACCAAACCAGTATGCTATCTCTGTGAATTGGTAGTATTATCCTCATTTACATTACTGTTCATGAACTCCACAAAATTCTGATAAAGTAGTTCTTTCTCTCACTGCAAGAGAAATTCTATGTACCACAGTTGGTCATAACATGGACCCTCACATTAGCATTTTTAATTTCAGAAGAAAGATGGAACATACCATCCTTAGACAAAGATAAGCATTCACTTTTTAAAAATAATTGTAGCATTTAGTCTTAATACAGTTACCCATTAAATTTTTAATTCATAAACAAACATTTTCAATGTTCATATTTTACTGTGGTTGTACTTAGATGCAATAAAATAATCAAAAATTAGACCGAGAGTCAACTTAGCAACCCCAAATTTATGACTTCTTCATAAAAAGTATGTTTCTTTGATGCACATTATGTCAACATTTAGATGCACTTAAATCAATAGGTTCATGTGGACGTTTGCTTAGCAGGCACTCCTTTCATCTCATTTTTAAAAAGGAGAGGAGAGGCCAGGCCAGGGCACTTTGGGGCAGATTATTTTCAGCTTGCAGTAGTGCTGCTGGAATCATACTGATGTGGTCTGAGGCTAGAGATCTGAGAATGATGTTCCTTGGTTAAGAGCAATATTTGAACCAGAACCCAAATCCTGTCAGCTTCAGCCTGATTTCTACTTGTGTTAGTTCAAAACCAACTTCTGAAGAAAGCAAAAAAACTCTCTAAACTTTAGCAGGAAAGGACAGGACTCTTAATGCCTGAAGCAATCTCCTCTGATTCTGAGACATATTCATTAATTTGGGGTGCCTCGGGCAACCTCTAAATAGCCAAGCAGTGCTAAGCATGGCTGCATGCAGTGGAGCCTGCCTCCCCCAGCTGAAACCAGGAAGGTTTGGGGAGGAGGCAGAGGGGATAATATTCTTATGTCCTTGCTTGTCTGGAGGTTATCCCTGGGAGATGGGAATTGGTGTCTCAGGTATGCAGCTTAGACAGCCTCTGGATCCAGACACAGTCACTGATGTCCCCAGGTAGTGTCAGCCCCCCTCTCCACCAGAGCAACCTTTGGCAGTAACTCCTGTGATGCTCAGAGCCACAGACTTCATTGTGATAGATTTTTGTTATCTGGACTTTAACAACTATTTTGAGATGTTTCCTCATGGGAAAAAAAAATCCCCCACACAGAATCCTGTTTCTTTAAAGTTGTCCTCATTCCAGTTTAGCTTGGTTAAGTTAGCACAATTAGTACCATGCATTGTGGAAAAGGAAAGAATGTCTGTTATAGAATGCATTCTGCTTACTGTGCCACATAACTCAAGGAGAAGACCTATCAGGGCAGAAAGTCTCACGAGACAGTGATTGCTTCTTGTGAACACCCATGAACAGATACAAAATTTAAAGGGCACTTACGAAATGCTAACCATGTCTGCCTCAGCTGCAGGTACACTCTGAAGTCTGTCTGGAATCCAATATCGTAAACAGTGAGGTCAGATCCAGGTGTTCCCTTCAGATGACTGTACTCCCAATAACAATGCCAGGTACCTTTAAAAACAATCAATAAAACCCAAGAGTTTCTGAAGAGTGCAGAGATACAAGTTTAAAAAATAAAAATGTTTTACAATTCAAGTGTTTTTTCTTAGCATGTTAGCTAAACAAAACCCAGAAATGCACTATTATGAGACTAGTGAATTATAAAATCACATCTATAGAAAAGAAATATCAAGAGCTAACAAAAAATAGTCAAAGAAGCTAGCAGAATGCACCTACCATATCCTATAATTCCGATCACACCAAAGATGAAGATCCAAAAAAGTACCCCAGCTGTGAACCTTAATAGCACAAGGAAGAGCAGACTCACAACCATTGCAATGAACAGCCCACTGGGAAGAGAGGAGACAGAAAGATAAGGGAAAAAAAAATGAACATTTTCACTTTCTTGAAATGCCCGGTCCTCCAAACGAGGATCACTTCATCTCACATGGGAAAGATTAAAAAAATGTATTTCGAAATCTTTCAAAATGTATTTATGAAATATATCCTCTTGAATAGCACTTGCTATTGGAAACTAGCAGCTTATTTATGATAACTTCTCAGGATTCTCCGCGCCAGAATTATTGCACATACTGGGGCTCCCATCTTGGCAGAATGGTACTAGTACTGCTTACTTCGTCATTTGCAGCAGTTGAAGAACAAACTGCCTTTTTCAGGCTATGGTCTGAACAAAACCATACAGCACAAAAAGGAAAGTGGAAGAGGAAATGACTGCAAAAGGCCATTTTAGTCGGTGAGGTATTGAGGCTTCCAGTCATAAAGCAGTATGAATAATAACCCCCTCCAGCAAACATTCAGCTGAGATGCTTGAGAGAATGTTTCATTTCTCCAATGTTTTCAGCAGATGTTAGAAGAATATTATATTAGAATAGACTTATAAAACCTTTTAAATCTCTTTTTTCCTGCGTCAAAAACTTTTCTTCCAAATGTTCCCAGCTTGTTTTTCTTGTTAAGACGCAATATGGGTCAGCCTGATCATAATCAACCAAAATTACTAAAAATTCTAAAGCAAACTAAGCCAGGAAGGCAGAGGACCAAGAAAGGGAAGCACATCAGCTTATCTGGAAATTTCAGACTTTAAAACTTAGCCCTTTAAAGGTTTCCTAGCATGACTTATTTTCCCTTCTGATTGACTTGTTTGAATTTTTGAAGACATTCCTCAAAACAATCTGCAGCTATTGCTTGGTGTTGCTTTGCCCACTGCATTGGCAGTATAAAATTTATGATATTGTTAACTATATTAAAAAATCACCTGTTAGATATACATAGTAATGCACTTATCAAATGCAATTAGTCTGAAAGTCTCTTAATTGTGTTTTCCTTTGGTTTTGGAATTGGATTCTACAATAGAAGTCACAGTCTATGCTTTTTCTGCCTTGTAAAACATCAAAAGCCTGCTTAAGAATAATTGATGCTCTGTGTGCATGCTGTGCAGTCCTTACCTAATGTATAGAATCATTAGAACAGCATTACAACTATGTGATAAAAAGAAATTATAGTTGTTCCTTGAGTTCCATAGTAGGATTGGTAACAAACATATACATGATCTTTTTTTAATTTCTTGCACAGTCCAAAGTGAATTTGGAAAAATTACGAATACCTGTTAAAAATCTTACATTAAAATCCAATACCAAGAACTGGCATAATCTTCAAAAATTTTCATTCCAACTGATCTTGCATCCAGGACAGTATTGATGCCACTGAAAAAAAAAAAAAAAACAAAAAAAACAATCCAAAGAAAAGGTTGCTTTACCTATGAAACCAGAGAATTTATTCAAACAAAAAACAGGTCAAGTTAAAAAAAAAGTTGAAATATGATTGCTAATAAGAGCGCTATGTTACTATCACGCATCTCCTGTTCTGTAACAAAGCAAACATCAAGTTCAGTTAAGTCAATGAAAATTCAGCTAAGTTAGAAATCCTCCAAAAAGGCCAGTGTAAAATGATCTGTACTGCTCCCTCCAAAAAAAGAATTATTAAAAAAGCTCTAGGGGTGTTAATGATCATCATACTTAACTACCTACAAATACAAAAAAAAAAAAAAGAAAAAAGAGGTGCTATTAAGATCTACAAAGTCCCCAAAGTCATACAGCTGCAACTCTTGGACTGCCAAGAGCAGAGAGGCAGGAAACAGCATGGATAGGCAATAAGCTGCCCAATAAGCTGCCCTTGCGGGATTGTTTTGCGACCCTCCAAAGCACCCTCCAACATTAACTTCTTCTTAGGAAGAAATGAGGCAGTGTATTTGAAGATGCCAGCAGAAAGGAATGCAATGAAAGGTAGGTGCTACCAGGGCAGCCAAGGTTACAAGAAAGATGCAAGAAGATCCTCCGTCCTTCAGGCAGGCTGCGGGCTGGCAGCGTGTGGTCCAGCGGGGTTATCCCAGCAGCTCTCCCCCACCACGGCTGAGGTGGCCGGGACAGGCGCTGCTGGCTGTCCCTCTGCCAAGCTCCAGAGAGCCCAGCACTCTTTAACCCTCAGTTTTTTTTTGGAGCAGCTTTGACGGGTGGGATGTCTGTAGCACTGGGGCAGACGATTAGCTGGGGCCTATGACATGCACATACAGCCAAGGTCATTAAAGCCTATCTCTTGCAGCATAAGGGTTTCATTTTGAGCCTTCTTTTGCTCTGCTTAGTACTAACTTTTGCGAGGAAAACCAGCAAGAATTATTTAAAAACTGACAACCAGTTACTCTGAGACAGACTCAAACTTTTAGTTCAACTCATTTTTGCAGATCACAGGGCTGGTTTTCCTTACCAGGATTTTGCAGATTCAGGCATTAAGATACCACTTCCTCACAAGTCTAGTTAGCTTTGTTTATCTGCTACAATGGTTCTGACTTTTATTTTTAATTTCTAAAATAATTCACAAACTCAGAAATCAACAAAGAAAAAGTGGTCTTGAAGAGTAAAACCTACTTTGCAGCTTCCCTCAGATCAGTTACGTTTCTGGTCTTTCCTCTTCCATCCTTGAAGGTAGTCTGATTTGCCACAGTTAGCACACCATTCTTTGTGGAGAAGTCTGGAAAGCATCTCTTAAGAACTATTCAAAACACACACCAAAAAAAAAAAAAAAAACCACAGGAGGTACATTACATTTAATCAAGCTCCACTTTCATCATTTGTATTTTACATGAAATTATTGCTTATATATATTTAAATTGTTTCCGATTTTTCACTTCATGAATGTTGATATGTCGACAAAACTACTGATTAGACAAAGGAAGGAGAGAATTATAAAAGAAAGAAAACCAGATAGTTACGTCCTCACTTATGTCACCCTGTCTTTTGCTGCAAAAACTCACGTTTTTCAGTCTGAGGAGGAGGTCAGTCCTCCTACACAACCGTACATTAACTTTATATAGCAAGTCTGTGCTTTCATTATGAAGTTCCAACAGACACTGATGCCAAGTTTCAATAACCAGTCGCCATGCAGGAAAAAATAGACTATTTACCCCACAAACTATTCTGAGGAAATAATTAAGTTACCTGTTTCACTTTCTCCCCTAGTAATGTTTCCACTCTGCTGCAGCCTACAAGAAGATATTAGATTCTTGCAAATTAACTTTCTGTTTTTTGGATCAATAAATCACTTAAAATATATTTTTTAGCTGAATCCAGACTTTCTCTTTTTGATGATCTGTCCCTGGTTTATGTTTTTTGCTTTAAAATGGAAAAATAAGCAGGTATGTCTTTCTCTGCAGGAGCTTCTGGGCCAATGGCAGATGCTCCTGGTATTACAATCCTGTGGCTGAGATCAGCCCTAAGACCTGCAAGTGCCTATTTAGAAATACCCACTGATCTTGATGGCAAAATCATCTTTTTCCTCTTTTATTCTTCTGTAAGTCCCGTAGAATCAACCTACCACCGAACAGCAAGCTGTAATGTAACTGGGCTCAAGGATCATCTGAACCTTGAAAGCCATCCAGCCTTTCCACACTCGTGGTACTTGCTTGATGCCAGTGGGTTACTTGCTCACAGGCAAGAAGTGACAGAAGGTCTCACATATAGAAGGCATCATTCAAACTGTATGGTTTTCACTGTTAGTGATGATGTGTGAGCAAGACAGAGCTTGGCTTGATCTGATCACAAACTGAACTTTACTGGATAACAGTTAGAAAAAAATATCTTTATACTTGAAAGCTGTCTAAAATTGATTTGGATGTCACTGGGAGATAGCGGATCGCTCCTAACAACCTTGTCACAAAAACACTTTTCAAAACGGACTGTCATTTAATGGGGACACTAATACTCTGCTGAGACATATATAAGAAGTACAGCCACTCACAAGGCCTGCTTGGAATGATCATTGAAGGGCAATCTTCATCACGTAGGACTTGAGCAACAGACTGAAAAGCAGAAGAGTAGGAACTGGTGAACACACAGGTGAATAAGTGCTTTTCATTTCCCACTCAATCTGAGAAAATGTCCCAAACTGTGCTTTTTTGCCTCTTCCTAAACAGGTGGAGAGGCAAAACATTCATAATTTGAGAATCCAAACTGCCACATGGGATTTGAGAAAAAAATATTATTTCCTATTGACAAAGACGGAAATACCTGTTCTCACTGGATCAGCACCTAAACCAGGAGTGGGCAACTGTTCTTTGCCTACTCTTCAACTTTACTCTTAAAGAATAAAAACACAGCACAACTCATTCCAGTTGTTTTGCAATGTGTTTTAAAGATAAGATGAATATTACACCGATTACACCAAAGACATTAATTTTCCTAGCTAAAGATATTAACTAAGTGGCTGTGGATAACTCTCAAAAGCCCTGAGGGTTTGTTTGAGAGGTTCTGCTTTCCTGGTGCAGAGCACCTAAGTACTGGAGGAGACCACCTTCCACAGCACTGCAATTTCATGGGTAAATGCAGATATGTTTTAAACTAATAGCAATCATTTAAAGATTCTGAGATTGTGGGTGCTTATGAGACCTTCAGCCTTGATTAAATCAGTGTCAAACCATATCTATGGGACAACTCCTCATTTGATGAAACTGTAATAATTTGTTGCTTTGATGTAGCTCAGCAAAACCACGTCTATTACATAATGCTTGAAGCAAAATTGTATTGCATCACCTGTTGATACATACATACCTTGCGAGGATTGTTAAAACCAGGTTTGCAGAACTGCTTAAAGTAATTCCAGTGATCTACTTTATATCTGTAGGAAGCCTGAACATCTATGTAGGTTGCAAACCTCTCTGGGCACTTTGAGACGCAGAGCTGCAAAAAAAAAAAAAAGAAAAAAAAAAGGCAGTAAAGACACACTGGAGGTGGAGAAAGGGGAAGAAAGTCAATGCAATACAGAAGAATACAACAGAAGATGACAAAAAAGTGGCCTTCTATAAAAATGCACTGTTTTATGAGACTGCTGTAATACTTACTGTAGTATTTAGAAAGGGACAACATTTTTTTCTTTCAGATCCTTAGATCAACACATAAAATCCTTTGATAGAACACACTTTCAAAATCTATCATAAATGTCATATCTAAACACCCTTTGTATCTTCTTTGCTCCCGCATGCTCTGGTAGACAAACACAACACATTTTTTGAGCCTCAGACAAAAAAAAATCCTTCGGTCCCTCCCTTGCTTCACCTCCAGCAGCAGGGGCATACAGGGGCAAGCTGTTGCAGGAGCTGCTTTCACAGGACATGTGGCGTTTCCATTACATTCGTACAGAAATGTCTCATGCAGCTAGAATCACTTCACCCCTCCACCCTCTCTCTGCAGTGACACTGCTGGAGCCAAGTTAGGTGTGTGCCACTCACATGAAGGTGGTTATTTGCACCACCGACTAATGATGAAGCTCCCCAGTCCCCAGGTAGGGTGCACACACCAGGAAGAGAATCCTCAGCAATCTTGGCAAAGCCAATATAAACAAGATTTGTGTGAGAAACTGTGTGAGCACTGGCGTTTGATGAATGCACCCACCTGCAGGCTGCAGCTTGATTTATGTACTGGAGAAACGGCTGTCCCAGGAGCCAGACTTGGCAGGCTTCCTGCCCTTGAAGTAAGTCTCACTTTATTTTGTAAACCCACAGCCTGGCTCTAGAACTGAGACTTTCTCCATGCTCAATTCTTGCTTTCTGTCACAAACTTTTTGCTGTAAGTGGGATAGAAGGACCTTGACTACAGTTTAGAAGAGGAATTTTCATCAAAAGTTTCTTCAGCATTTTCACAAAGGACCTGAGTATTAAACATCTGCAGAAACAAACAGCTTTCAAAATTGTCTCTGTTTTGGGGATGTTGCATATCTGAAAATGGATAAAATAGCAACACCCTTTTCCAATAAGTGTGTCACCATAGTGGATTCAGGATCAGTGCCAGTTTGACCATAGCACCAGTCAGGTATTCCTGAGCTGTCCTGCCACTGTGGACTAGCTCGTAGCATGTGGGGTGACACCACCACTGGGGCCCCCCGGGCTCCCTGATGCAAAGTTTCTGCTGACCAGTAAAGTTTCCACTCTGTTAGCACCTCTCCAGCTTCAGGAGGGTTCCTGCTCCCCCTTGCTAGAGGGTTACATCACTGTGCCACATAGTCACACTAACTGATGGGCCAAAAGCATCTGGCAAGGATGGGGATCAGGAGTAAGGAAAAGCTGGAATGGGAACCATTCGTAAATGACAGTCCAATAAAAAGTCATTTAATGCTTGTAATTAGTAAACTGGCTACCGCATAGCAGCCCACACACAGAGTAGCACTGGACTTCACTGATTGTGGCCAACTTGCCTGAGACCACATTCTGCTCCCTGCAGGTGAATTGCATCTACTGCTTCAGCAGCAAGCAGGGTCAGGGAGCCCTGCCTCTGCTCCTCTAACACAGCCATGGCATCACATGCGTGTTTAGTTCTTAAGCAACATGACTAAAAAACAGGAAGGATGTTTTCTGTCTGTATCTTACTCACCTGTGTTGTAGGGCACTGTAGGTTTATTAACACTGCTGGGCTGGCACATTTCAGAATGTTGAAGTAAAACAAAAGGGTCTTGTTCCTATAGAAGTGGATATAAGACAGTTAATTGTATAAGCAGGATGCTGATACATGCTGGCATACCTAGATTGATAGTATATGTTGATATTTTAATTCTATTTTCCTAAATGGCCATACTGCAAATCCCAGACAAGCAAACAAACAAACAAAACCACAAGCAGACCCTAAATGTTCTTTGCCAAGGTATCTTTTAGACTGAAGGTATTTGACCTAAGAACTATTATTTTTGAGGCAGTTTTTCCAGAAGCTGCTCCAGGCCCTGTTTCAGCACCAGCCATCCCGCCTGGAGGCAGCGCAGAGCTGTCCCACAGTCGCCCTGCAGACTGCGGTGTTCCTGCTGCTATGGCTGAACGTTGCTATCGGTAGTACCATGCTGTAGGAGCTGATTACTTTGTTAATCAGTCCAAAATCAATCTAGAGCTTTCCGTGGTTGGAAACTCAAAGCAGCTGCCCAAGAAAGAGGATGATAATGGCATCTGATAAGAATGCTGATAAGCCTCCTTTAATATCACTAAGGGTCAAGTAGTGTTCCTGCATCTTCCAAAACTTGAGAAGCAGAGGTGGGTGTCACCTCAACTTCGATTTGCTGAAATTTCATCACCCCAAGATATCCAGATTTAAACACATGGGTTTTGGAAAAAACAAAACCTGCAGTTAAACTTTTCTCTGTCAGGGAACTGTGGATAGTTGCAGTGATGTTGGCAGGGCACTAGTCTTGGTCTTTCTACAAGGCCTCAATAGCCAGCTGGCCACGCCAGGACTACACCATCCCCATATGAAATAACAGCTCACGTCCCCTGTGGCCCATCTCTGTCATGTGCTGGGGCTTCTGAGGAGAGGAGAGCCAGGCCATGACACACCGTGCGTACCAGGCCAAGGGAGCCATGCAACGGGAGCCAGGCCAGGCCATGACACACCATGCAAGCCAGGCCACAGGAGCCACGCCAGGCCATGGGAGCACCGGGAGCCATGCCGGCAGGGGGAAGGCAGTGCGAGAGGACAGCAGGGTGTCTGGGAGAGCCAGGCTGAGGGGCAGGTCCCACTGGCACATGGTTCCCTGCACCTGCTCAGTGAGGTTGGCTCTTCCCAGGCTGCGACGGAGCATCATGGCATACTCAGGCGCCCACTACAACTGGAGCTAGCTCAACTGTCGGACTGCTTAGAAAGTTATGCTGTTTTCAGGGAGGTATCTTCTATTATATGTATAAAACACACTTCCTGACAAATACAATTCACAAACATTAGCTGCTCTTTCAAATCAGTAAAATACTAGACTGAAATGTCGTCTTTCTTCAATATTTTCCTCAGAGTGTTTATAATCTGTTAGTTGCTTAGCAAAACTCATGTCAGCAGTGACTTCCTTACTTCTGATGTCTTCGTGCACTTGCTAATACTAGCAGCAGAGAAGGACTCAACATACATGTAATGTCAGAGAGCAGCCACAGAGAGGCTGTTTGTCCTTTACAGACCTACATCCTTCACAGCTGAACTGTACTGCACTCTGCAAACAACCTGCCTCCACAGAAGGTGAAACAACAGCAGAGATTTCATGGAGTTAATTAATGGATGATGGAGAGACAAAAAGATGCCTAAAAGAAAGTCTTATGACAACATAGAACAGAATTAATTTGACTGCATGGAATTCATGGAGCTCAACTGCTTCTTGATTGTTCACTTGCTTGTTTTGTTTTTTTATGAGCTGTGAATGTTAGTTTGCTTGTTAGCTTCTATTTTCTACCACTCAGTGAAATTGCACAGGACTCTTGATCCAGACACAAGATTCAAAGTACAGCAACAGTCACCATTTCCCAAGAAAAAGGTCTCAGAGTAAGCCATCAGAAAACTCCTTGTCCCAGGTTAGCCTTTTGCCCTGCCAACTCACAGATGGCATCTGTAAAGGTCAGATAAGCACATCCCACACTTCCACTTTTGGGGACTAGATGGACGTGTTCAGAGGGGCCCTGGCAGGCCCCTGTTAAGGCTGCCACAAGAACCTACCTTTCCAAAAGTTGCCTTGTGAATCTTTCGGCTTATATTTTTATAATAAGCACTTCAAGGTGGCACGTGTCAAAATGTAGCCTCAGTAGCTGCATTACCCTTGAGCAATCACGTATATGGAAAGACATTTGTGCACACAAACTGAAGATCCTATTGTAAGAAAGAACTGAAAGGAAGATTTGATAAAAGAAAAGGAAGAAGGAGATGACAGTGAACGGTAAGACTCTGAGATATGGATGGAGCTGCACCGCACACACTGCACGAGTGCTATGTCTGATGCTCCCACATCCACACCCATGGGCCATAGAGGGAATGAGGACAGTCCTAAGGGTGGAGGGAGGGGGCAAACATGACGGTAGAGCTTCTTCTCACAGTTCCTAGGAAGGAGGGAAAAGTAAAGAACCCCTATGGCTTCTCCAACGTCATATTTGAAATAATCCAAGTAAGAGTGTGGAACAGATCTTCTTACAATCTCCAGTCATTAGTTTTCTCTGTAAAAAGAGCTTGACAGAATGCAAAGACTTATCTCCTATTCCTCCCATTCTAATGGGCCTTTTGAACGCTGTCTTCCTCTGCTCCTTCTCAGAAAAGTACATGGGAAAAGAAATGAGAAGCACCAAAGAGCTGTCGCCAGCCACAGGGTTCTTCCTACTCCTGCACACTGTCCAGTGTCATCTCCCTGGCAGGGGTATAGAGTGTGTCTAGTACTTACTATTTTACGAGGGAGAAGGAGAGGAAAAAGAGCAAAAACACTTTCTCAAATTCTGTTTCATAAAATAAGTCTTTGATTTTCAGAGAAAAAAAATGCGATACTATTCTTTTCTGGGCAGCTATTTTTATCTGCAAGTAGTTTATAGATTATGGAGTACTCTATATTAGTCAAATCATTTAATTAATTCTCCCAGGCCCAAATTTAAAAGATTTGGAAATTGAGACAAGCAAACAGAGCCACTTGGCTCATATTCCCAGGGAAGCTGGGATTACACCAGCTGTTCCCAGACCACCTGCTCTCCTCTGCTGGTGCCAGGCAAGCAGCAAGACAAAACAGCCCTTCCAATGGTTGTTTCTGCTCTTTGGTGTTTGTTGAGAAAAACTGAGAACCAGGCAGCAATGGTTTAGCATTGCTCTCATCCAGGGGAGCACAGAATGATTTCTCAAAGGGTTATTAAACATCCCAAACTTTGCAGCCAGCAGCTCTGCCACCTATTCACATCCCATGCAATTAGTGAGGCAGTCTTTTAAGTTATACTGATATTTATTGAGAGTATTCTCCTAACAACAAAAATAACTGTATTACAGTAATAACTTGTGTCTGGATTTGCACCAAGGATCTAAGCCATTTCTGCACCCTATCTGGAATAAATACAGTAACAGGAAGACAAGTGTTGCTGCCTCTCCAGCTTCCCTGCAAGAATCCCAAGCAGACAGCAGATCTGAAACCCCATCTCTTATCCACACTGCATGAGCAAGAAAGGAAAGTGAATTGATTTAGTACTCACTCATTGGGGGTGTCTTTTTGACCACAGAACTGCCCATAGCTGTCCGTTGGATAAACCACTTTCCTGGGGTCACCATGTACCCAAGCTGCAAAAATACATATATCTATTAACATTTTAACCAAGCATCCAGCAGTAGCTTGTTAATAGCAGAGATTCACTAGCATAAAAATGCATCACCACTCATGTACCATTTCAATCTTTCTGGACGGCCACTGAAGGCAACTGATTTTCCTTAAACAGTAGACTTCTTACTGAAAAAATAAAATGAGGTAAAACAAAACAAGAATAAAATAAGGATGAAACAGTAAGAAAGACAGTCCCTTCACTTTTTAGCTTCAGGACACATACCTGGGTTGTATTGAAACCAGGAGGCAATGGGCATAGAAAATAATGGTTATTAAAATGGGAAAGAAGAGCAGTTGGTTTTCAGTCGCAGAGCAATATAGAGCTGTCTACTCTATAGTGAGACTGGGTTTGTGACCTGGGCATGTGACAGACTACAGACAGCGGGCAACTGAGCCTAGTGGGCTCCAGCTGCATTGAAAGTGGAAACTACCTCTCACTTGATAAATTAAAATATTAGGATAAAATACAATTCCACATTAACACCCGGTATTGGCATCCTAGAACTAGGTTTGCTACATTGTTGATCCTTTCCCAATCATTTCCTTGTGCTTGTATTTGTAGAAGAGATTAAGAAGATGTTAGCCCCAATCTTTGCTCCCTTGCACTACAATGAAGTCAGGAGCCACTTAGCATATGCTTTAGGCCTTAATCTATGCAAACCACCTTGAACTTACTTCTCTGTAATAAACCCCATTTTCCCTCAACTTTGTCGCTTTAAATTTAGCCAGTTGTGAAACCATCATTTTCCTCACTGTCACTTTGTAATAGCAGCACTTAAGATACAACATTAATGGCTGCAACGGAGACAGAATCTACGTAAGATCTCAAAGCAGGACATTGCAAGTCTCCCTATATGGTAATTGGCCCTGACACATAACACATCTTGAATAAATTGCAAATAGCTCTACTACTATCCACTTGCATAGAATCTGCAATGTATTTCAAGTTGCGTTCTTCTAACGCTCACAGAAAGCTAAAATGCTTCACCCATATGAAACCCCTTAAGTTATTTCACTATTTTCACTTGACAGGAACATTTAGGAGGCATCGTCTTGCTCCTACAAATTTCTACAGTCAATTGATTACTCACTTATACACGTGTACATGAGTTCAGAGAGCCAATAACTTTGTTGATTGCACCTAGTCTGTAGGTTATATCACATGCAATTTCTTCCATTATTACTCTGAAAATAGGGAGTTTTCCTTCCACTTTAATACTACCTCGCTTTTGATACACTTAAAAACCTTGGTCCAAATGGATTAAGCTCCTATGCAGATCAGAGAAGTCTTAAGGATTTATTTGTACAATGCTAAGTTGCTCTTTTACATTACCCTTTTCCCACTTCCCCCTACTCCCCTTTTTTAACTAGTTTGGCAAATCATTAAAAGGGCTATCTTTTCTTATTTGAGTGTGTTTTTCTAACACTAGCACAACAGGAAACAGCAAAAATAATCATGCAAGATTTAAAATGCTGATGAGAATCAGCAAAGCTTTTATCTGCTTTCTACAGATAACTTGCAAGTAGTTCCTACTGCCAAGAATATCCCTTTCCTAGATAGCATATTAAATCTGGAGTTACTTTATCCTCCTCAGACAAACATGGAAGGAAAGAAACATTTAAAAAAAAATTTACTATCTCAGTTCTTTACTTGAATGTATAGCAATTTTCTAGGAAGAATCTTTCCGTCAGAACAGCCATATACCCCAGGCTTATGTGCTTCAGTCTGTTTAGGTAGACTAAAACAGTCATCAAGAATAAAACTGAGTTCATGATGTGAGCAGAGCAGCATATTATCCTCTTATTCTTTTTTGATCTAATATACAGTCTGCTGAAATCTTTCAAAGGCTGTCTTGGTTTCCCTGTGTTTGTATCGCTCCTTGACCTCATAAAACGTCACCATTCATCTTCTGCAGTGTTTGCCAGTGATGAGCAGACTGAGCGAGATGCGGACAGCGGAGCGTGCTACCCGCACCCCTGCTCGGCAGCTTCGGCACGCACTGCTGCCCGGACACGCGGCACTCGCCTCGTCCTTTCCAAACTGCTTGGTACTTTGGCTTGCTAGTCGCTGTCCTGTGTGCCTCTGGCTTCACCCACGTCGAGGCAATAAAACAGCACTAAAAAGATCAACTTTGAAAAAAGAGATTTAGCACCCTTTTCTCTGTGAATTATCACCACTGGATCAGCTGCTGGGTGGATGCAGGAAAATGCCTTTCAACTACACTGCAAAGCGGCAGCAAGGAGAATCGGTCTGCTTTAGACCACAAAATCTAGCATTTGAATAACTCTGCAGTAGAAAAAGAGAAGGAAAACAACCAACAGGAGAGAAAATATGCAGCTTCTTCCTTTGCCTGTGCCTGTGCCCAGGCTAGGCAGTAGCATTAATAAACTCCCTCCTCTGTTACTTTCTGGGTAAACTTGGAACTATGACCGTAAAAGAATCCATATGATAAATGCACTTTTTCCAGCCAGCTCAGTGAAGAACAGTATCTGATTCAGGTCTCACTGAGGCAACAAGGTTGTCACAAAACAGTAGCACCCTGTTTTCTTGACTGTGCTGCCCTATTGATGACCCAGTATCAAGGATGATAAATGAAACAGAATCAATTCATACTGAGTTTTTATTCCAGCACATTCATATGGCTGCAGCCAGAGTGCTGACACCAGCATCTGGGCTGAGCAAGAAAATTGAAAACCAGCTCAACCATGTTACGCAGCTGGATGAACTCTCGAGCAGCAGCGGGATGGCACAACCAACAGCATTTGACAAGGATCTGCTGCCACGAGGCCTGTGACTATGGCCTGTGCTTTTGCTGATGCAGAATGAGCACATACCAAAAACAGTCTGTGCCCATCATCCTAGCAGTGAGTCCTGCTTTTTGGTGCTGCAGCTGCATCAATGGTTACAAAGGCTGGAAGCTCCCAACCAAGGAGTGAATGTGATCAGAACATGAGACCTGCAGATACTTAGAAAATAACTAAAAGTCTGTTTAGATTGCCTGTCTCATCCTCTCTACAGTGTAATCTTATAAGCACAGGCTTTCATATTATTATTGCTTCTCTTAAAGTTATATCTTTAATATTTGCAGGTGTGGAGAAAGAGGCTTGCCAAACGGCGCTTATGGCGTTTTAACACAAGTAATTTAGTAATGCAGTGAAGCAAGTAATACAATATATGATGCTGAATCTGCAAATTGCTGTTGATGATACTGCTGTTGCATAAACATCTCTTAGAGCAAGACTACATTCAGTCTTGTACAGGGAAAAAAATATGCTCATCACTTCAGGGTGATCCATCAGGGCAGAGGTTAGTCCTCATTTATACATCTATAAACAGAGCGCTCCACAAAAGCAAGGATTTCATACATGGAGTTATAAAATTGCAAAAAAAAAATTCATGAAGAATGTTGTAAATTGTCATCATAAAATGTACATAATCTCAAGCCCTCACTTAGGATTTGAATCCATCAAGCATTTTTTATAAAAACAGAGTAACGCTAGAATGGAAGAACAATCTCTAATCATGATGAAAATGCTTGAGTATTAGGTGCTACAAGCTGAAGAGATGGTTTACTGATCATTACTCGTGATCATAACTCTAGCATGGGTAAGTGCACTCCAGGATAAAAACCCCACATTGTTCTCTCAAAGCACAGGGCAGCACCGAGAAATTTGATATTACAAAATGTAAACCTGCATCTGGGGACAGAAACCACTGACTGGGATAGTGACATTTGGATGGAGAGTGATTCCTGCTTGTACACAAAGCTCTGCAAGGGGTCACAATGTAGTTCACACCTTGACCTCAAGAGTTGAGGGCTGGACCTATATCACAAAAAATGTTGTTGCTTTTAACTAATCTGTCCTTTGAAGATAACTTACTGGCTGCCTTTTTACATTCATTTTGCTGAACTAAAATCATCTTAAATTAGAGACTAAACTCTTTCAAAGTTTCTTAGCTTTCAGAATACGCTCAGAGCTGCAGCGCTGGCAGAAGGTGAGAGGGTCCCGCTCCAGCACCGCGTCTGGAGGGTGCTGTGCTCTGGTGCAGCTTAGCAGGAGGATGGAGATCTCAGACACTTGGGATTGCAATGCTGAGGTTAAATCAGCCTTGCCCACAGACACTGTCCATGCTCTAAGCAGCAGGTCTTACCTGCACAGAAGACAAAATAGCACTACAGAATCACAGTGAAAGCTAATGGCTTCTCTTACATCTGAGACAGGGCCAAAATGAACTTTTACAAGTATATTGAGTAAGCTTGGCCAAATGTGCAGGCACATAGTAAGTATACTTTACAGTATCACATAAAAGCATTAAAAGTTTTCTCACAAAAGCAAAACACAATGGATATTACTAACAAAAATTCTGATGTGCAAAGAGTTCTGGATCCCATAATAAACGCAGTTATCTTTGTCTTCTCCAGTCACTCACACAGGTTCTTTTGGTAATATTTCCAAGTACATGAAGCCTCCTAAAATGTGATGTTCAGGTCTAACTTTTGGTGTTGACAAATAAAAGATTTTCCTCCATGACAGTTATAGTTTACAATACCAAAATTATTGAAGTATGGCATTTTTACTTAAAAACCTCCAAGTTTTTCCTCAGCAAACATGTGGTTTTGAATTTCTCCCTAATTACAACAGACATTGAATGTTAATTCCTGATTTGTTTCTAGGTAAGGCATTGATTAGAAAGCTTTAAGTAGACATTAACTAAATGGATGCATCAGTTAAAAGCAATAACATTCTCAAATTTGCTCCCCATGCATGTGCGAAAGCACTGCTACACCTGCATGCACTTACCCACTATTCCTAATGCGATGTAAGCCAGAATGACAGCTATGAAGATTACACAGCAAACAACATCAGTGCAATGCCTGAAGAGAGAAAGGAACATTTTTTTAATAAAGTGTCTAATGTGACCCTTTAAAAACATAATGAATTTCACATCAGAACATACTGTAAGCATATTTGCCTCTGCCATTGGTATTTTCTGAAGTCTCACTCACAAAACCATGCTTGAGCTGCAAGGCCCTGCTTTCACTGGAAAAACAGCAAATAAATACACATGTAGATATATAATAAATACTCCACAGCAGACAGCAATAAAACTATATTGAGGAAGAGACTGGAATATTCTTAACACCAATACCTTACAACATTGAACGCACAAGTCACTTTGGTATAAGCTACTGCAGAACATCTGTAACAGCCTCAGCATCTATCATCAGTATCTACGATGCTTAAAATTAGCATCAAATATTCCTGAAAATAGTTTAAAATGAAGTTTCAACACATTATATTGATATAGACACAACATGTAATCAAATGTATACAGACCAACAAAACCCACTAGCAAAAAAAAATGGCTTAATTGGTTTCTATTCATAGTGGAAAACATTATCTTTACCTTAACAAGGGCATTGATCTTAAAAGAAGACATAAGACAATCAGAGCTAATCCAGAATATGACAATTTGAAGCTTATAAAACATAACCAGCAAGAGGGATTTAAGATATTCAGTGAACAAAAGGGAACCCAGAGGCTGTCATACCCTTATTACAGTCTTCAGTTATATAGAGAACTGATATAAAAAGAAATGATCTAATCTCTAGACCCATGATGTTCTGACAAGAAAAGGAGGATCAAACTCCAACAAAATACACTTGGTTAAGAAAAAAAAAAAAAAAAGTCTTTCTAATGGCTAACACAGTGCAGCACCAGCACAGTACTGGAGAGGCTGCAGAGCATATCATGAAAGGACAGGTTAGATAAGCTGCTATTAGAAATAGATGCACTTGATTCTACTTTGAGGCTAGGGTTATAATTACAGGATTTCCTAAAAATTCTATTACCCTTACTTTTCTCTGATTCCATGTCTATAAATGTTCTAGTGTTAGTCATCTTGAGAAGAGAAGTCACAATGGAATACAGAGGTAAAAGCAGGTTAGGTGGAAAAATGTCAGTTTGACTGATCTACCAGCACTGTCTATGGAGGAGTCAATAAAATTAGTCAGAGTGCCTCAAAGCACAAAGCTCTAGCACAAACCCTGTGTCCAGGACAAGAAGGATGGTGGTGGATACAGACAAGGCGGAGAAAGACAGGAGAGGGATCTTAGGGGTGCCAAATATGAGACTACTGAATACTTTGCATTTGAAGTTTGGCTACAGAAAGGTTGAGAACCACAGCAAAATGCATGATAGAGCCAGGGAGTTGCAGAAGAAAAAAATAATCAAGAATACTACAGGAAAATCATAGAATGAAGAAAACAGACAGGGACTGGAAATAAGGGCAGAGACAGAAATAACTGTCAGCCTAGTATCTTGTGGAAGAATGGCCTAAAAAGGGGGAAACTTAGAGAAAAGCTAGGGCCTAGCAGCAGTTCCGTCCTTGCAGACGCTCGCTGGGTCGATCCGCAGCTGCCGCTTCCAGGATGGCTGGTGCGCACGGGCTCAGCTCCTCCACGGCTCCCTGGGCAGCACAACCGGCCTCCTGGCAGCTGCCGAGGGCAGGAACGGAGGCTGCAGCGGAGCCAAGACCCCGCGGCCCAGCTCTGCTGCGCTCCCTGCGCTGGGCCCTGAGGAGCCGCACAGCAGCTGCCCACGGGGAGAGACACGGGAACGTGGCCGGGGCTGAGCCGGCACGGGGGGCAGAGCACTCCTGTGGGGTGAACTTTGCTCCAACTTTGCTCGTTAGAATGGCAAAACACACCTGCATCCCCAAAGTCACCCGCCTCCGAGGTATGACCTCTCCTCACCGAGCACGCGCTCTGGATTTGCGATTGACTGGGCCTTTAGATGGAAGAGAGAAACTTTTTCACCCATCAATAACAATATTAAGTAGGACTCTAGGCACTCA